TGCATCTCAGTATATAGTTTTGGTGTAAATGGATGAATTATATCTATTTCTTCATCACTTACCATCTCTGTGGGTATGTAGGGATCATAAAGGCCTGTTTTGACTGGTCTCTGTTAATGGTGTAGCACAAACCTCTGAAGCAATATGGTAAACGCTCAACAAATTCTTGTTGAAGAAATAACTGCACGTCTACTACGAAAACACTCGTACATTTACTTACATTATACTGAGTTAATGAATATATATTATGCATACAGATAGCAGTTTCCATGTTTCCCTGACAAGCTGCTATCTATGGTGGGTGAAGAAGGTTATACAATAAAGAAAAAAAAATCAACCATTCATATAAATAGGAATTTTGAAATGCAATATGTAGAGATACAGTTACCTCAAAGTCACAATGATGTAGAGAACTGGAGTACATTTATTATAGATCATAATTCATCCTGTGATTTGCTGCTGACTCTACAACTGCTTCTAATAAATTCCTAAGGAAAAAGTTAGTGTTACTTGCAAACAGCTTAACCAAGGGTCTGGGTTGGGTGGGACAGGGCTTGTTTACAAAATCAAAAAAGAAGTCATTTCAGTTAACAAGAACACTTTTTCTTCTTTATTTCATTTTAAAAATTGTATGTATATGAACATATGTCTGTGCACCGCTGTGTCTGCAGTGCCTGAAGAGGGCAGAAGAAAGTGCTTGGATTTCCTGGGACTGGAGTTGTAGACTGTTTGCTGCAAACATCATGGGGTGCTTGAAATCAAACCTAGTTCTGGAAGAACATTCAGTCCTCTTAACTACTGAGCCATCTTCCAGCCCTGAATCCTTTTTGAAAGAGAGATTCGTATCACCAAACAGAGGCAGGAGCCATTTTGTTTACCATCTGCTTTGAAGGGTGTGCACATCTCTGCATCCCTGTGTGTGAACGCAGGGAATCCAATGATATTCTCTGGGAAGTTGGGATCACTCATTTCTCCAGAATGTCCTCATCATTCTCAAAGGCAGTTTCTTATGCCAACAGGAAAAGGAAGAAGATGAGATGCAATTTTATCTCCAAATTGAATTTGATTAAAAGAGGACTGCTCTAATCAAAAGTTTGAATCCTGGAGGGGGGAATGCAATGCTGGTAACAGGTTTGAGAGTATTTGAAGGAACAGAGGAAGAAAAAATATAAAGTGGAGGTAGAGAAAGACGCAGGCAAGAAAATAATCACAGTAAAGCCTGTTAAGGCATAAAACTGGGAGAACAAACTGCCTCACAGACAGCTAAGTGTTAAGCATACTGCTAGACTGGCAGAGGAAGTGGAAGAAAGCTTTTTGAAAACATTACTTTTATTATTTTAATAATTTATGTAGGAATCATAGTAGCTGCAATCTGTTAGCCAGAAACAATTGCCAGCTGGTGTCATCCTGGAGTAACTATAGTAGGCTAAATGCAAATATGTTTTTCCTTTCACCTGGGGAGCATTCAGTTTTAGAAAGTTTCTATTCATTTTTTCAGCAGAATTCGAGGTCTGCCCTCGTAGATAAGGAAGCCTGTTTATTGCGGGATTTAAGAGCTTTGATTAAGTTTACAGCAAGTTCTGCTGTGGTACTAGAGAGATCACACCTGGGACAGACACAGTGTTTATCCAACCACAGTTACCTATCATTAGACACGAGTTTCTGAGCACAGCCTGAATTATCTATGCAATTGCCTTGAATCTATGCATTGTTTTTCCTCCAATTATCTCAAGGAAATGGTGGCACCCTGTTAACTATTTTACTGACAGTAAAAACAACAATAACAGAAAAGATTTTATAGGTTATGGGATAATGCTCTTTGAATGCTGTTATGAGGGCAGTCATACTTACGGGCACATAAGTTATGAACAGCACGGCTATTATATTTTCTACCATATTTTATTCTGAAATTCTTGTAAATGACCTATTTTAATAATGATGCTGTTGATTTATGATTGGTACTGTCCTTCCCTTGTTTATCTGGAAACTCTGACTAGATACCAAAACATCGCAGGATGTGAAATTGCTCTGCTTTGCCTGGCAAGCCATAGGGAGAGGGAAAATAACTTAATTGTTCTGTAGTAATGCTGTTGTCTCTTCCTGCCTCCTGCCTCACAGGGTCTCAGGAGGGGAGAGAGGAAACTGTGAGCTGTGTCTTTGTTCTGTGGATTTCTTGGGTGGTGATTTGAATGGATTTCAGAGTGCTAGAAGTTTCTAGATTTGACTTTGTTCTAACCTGGCATTCCTTGGTTCAGTTTTCTCATCTCAGAAACGAGGTATTATCCCTCCTCCTCCTCCTCCTCCTCCTCCTCCTCCTCCTCCTCCTCTTCCTCCTCTTCTTCTTCTTCTTCTTCTTCTTCTTCTTCTTCAAATCTCCTTAGAGGATGCTCTGAGGAGCAAATGAGAAGGTGGGTAGGAAAGTACCTTTCCACTCTGCAGATTACCAACTACACTCCCACTACTCATTTGGGTATAAAGGCTCGTCTTAGCTATGAGATACTAAGAATATTCTAGAAAATGGGATAATTCTCAAATAAAATAGAATACAAGGCATAATGGCTTATTTTTTTTATCATTGCCTGAAGTGAAATACCCCACTCCAGCATGTGTTCCTGTGTGCTTGTGCATGTGGAAGCCAGAGGACAGCTTGATGTCCCTCAATAGAATGAGCCTATCACTAGCCTGGAACTTGCCAAGTAGGCTAAGCTAGGCTACCAGAGTCCTAGTCATCTGTTTGTCTCTTGAATCTGCTTCCTTAGCAGAGATGCTGAGATTAGGAGCACTGGCCATCACATCCAGGTTTAAGAATAATTAGCTCTGGAAATCGAAACCTAGGACCTGTGTGTGCATTTTAAGGCTGGAATCAATCTCCAGCCTTTAAAAAAAGTCCCTGTCAATTCGATGCATCTAGGAAATAATTGCTGGGTTTTGCTGGGTTCTGCTTTTAAAAAGAACAATTTCTTGTTTTGGAGTGTCATATGACATCATTAACAGGAATTTAAACTTGAGTGAGAGAAAATAGAGTTCACAGAGCTTTAGAGAAGTGGAGTCATTGTGTCTAACACCTTCCTTAGGAATGTAGACTTCTACAGGCTCAACAACACTCAGTACCTCAGTGGAGTCATTGTATCTAACACCTTCCTTAGGAATGTAGACTTCTACAGGGTCAACAACACTCAGTACCAGTACCGCAGTTGCTCATAAGGATGAAACCAGGGGTAGAAGCAGAGGAGGAACATTTTGTTGAGAACTCCACCTGTCTAGAACAATAAAAATAACCTCTGATGAGCGAGCTTTGGTGTTCCCGAAGGAGATCTGGATTTGAAGCGATGGTTGTCTAAGTGGGGACTTGACAGAAGAAGCCAGCACAGCTCTCTCAGGAAGAAACAAGTCCCGCCCCTAAGCACAGCGCCTCTAAGAAGACAGTAGGCTGATGTACTTGGCATGGGATTCCACCGCTGGGTAACTAGTGGGGATACCTTTAGTCTGGGTCAGGAACTCACACTGCATTGCTCCAAATGTCAACACACTGCCACTCATAGCTTGGAAATCAACCATAGCTGGTCTAGACATTGTGGGTCTGGTACTCCAGATTGATGTGAATTGGATGGTATCACAATTTGTTATCTGAAAATCATAAAGTGTATTTAAGTGAAGTTTGGATTCTGGGGCAAATTTAAAGTTTGCACACTCGAAAGATGAAGTTTAAAGAAAACCTCTGTGGGCGACGAAGGAGGACTTCACTGTGCAATGAAGGTAAGGTGAGCTGATGTTGCGTGTTGCCTTTCACTGGAGTGGGAAAAGGCGAGCCTTGACCATTGAAGAGCTCACTTTGTGCAAATGGAATGGATTTTAGGATTTATACCCTGCAGGGCTACGTGCTGGAGCCATGGAAATGGAGTACACATCAAACACAAAGCTCTTTACAGGGCAGGCTTTTAGTGGTTGTTGGTTGAATAAAGTTGTAGCGTTGGACCTACTAAGTTTATAGTTAAGGAATCTTGGAACAAACTTGAGCATCAGTTTGAGTGTGCTGGGGAGACAGTGAATGAGGTCTGGAACCTATGTGCCCTACCGAGGAGGGGCAAGCAGCCCCCTGTTTAGTCTGTGTGAGACTTCCTGCCAAAGGGGTGTTATTCCTGCAAACAAGTCCAACCAGGTTTCTGTCCACTCTCATACTGAGAAAGCTGTCAATGTTGCAATTTAGAGGAATCAGATCATCGCTAGCAACGCCCTCCATCGGGCCTGTTCTCGCTCCGTGGTAGCCTTTCTGCCAGATCTCCCTAGGCTCTAGGCTGAAGGGATTCCCACCCCCAGCTGCCTCCCGAGAGCCCGGCGGAGCCGTGGACTCCTCCCCTGGAAACTCCTCCGGGGCTGAGGAAGGCTTTGGCGCATGCTCCGTACCTAGGGCAGGTTTTTTTGCTGCGGGTAGCAGGGCTCCTGTCACACCGGCTGGCGGGTTGTGGCGGTGCCAGCCCGCGTGAGCGAGTGTGTGCGCGTTGCCTGCGCCTGGGCGGGCGGACCCGGAGCAGTAGTGCGATTCGCCCGGGAGGCGGCTCCGCAGAGGCGTCCTGCTCGCCGCCGCCGAGGGGCGGCTTTGCAAACTTGCGGCGGGTTCCAGGCGCCCGGGGACCCGCGGGAGAAGGTGCGGGGCGCGGTGCATACGGAGGGCTGGGGCTGCGGGGTCCGGCCGAGCCTTCGCCCTTGGCCCGCGCCCTGGCGAGCCTCATGCAGTCCCTGTGCTCGCCACCGCAGCTGCCCCGGGAAGGTCCGGGACCCGAACCCTGCACCGCAGCGCCTGAGCGTCTGCGGACTGGCGGCGGGATGCTCCGTGTCGCCTGAGAGCGCCGCGCCCGTGCGGGAGAGGAGCCGGCTGGAGCCCGGCGCCCCAGGGATCGCGAGGAGCCCCACGCCACAGCCGCCGCCGCCGCCGGCGCCCGTCTTCCCGGCTCCGCTCGTAGGCCCCGGCTCTGCCAGCTCCGGAGTGCGGCGGGGCAGCCAGACAGCCGCGCTCTTCGGCGGCAGGGGCATGGAGGAGCGGCGGGCTCCGAGCCGCGCCCCGGAGTCCCCGAAACTTCCGAGCAGGCGCCCGATCGCGCCGCTGCCGCCGCAGCCACCTCACCTGCCGGCCTGAGAGCGGGACCATGGATGAAAGGTTCAACAAGTGGCTGCTGACGCCGGTGCTCACTCTCCTCTTCGTGGTCATCATGTACCAGTACGTGTCCCCTTCCTGCACCAGCTCCTGCACCAACTTCGGGGAGCAGCTCCGCTCCGGGGAGGCCCGCCCGCCCGCTGTCCCGAGTCCTGCCCGACGGGCACAGGCATCCCCGGATGAGTGGGAGCGGCGGCCCCAGCTGCCACCGCCACCCCGGGGACCGCCCGAGGGGTCTCGTGGAGTCGCGGCTCCGGAGGATGAAGATGAGGATCCGGGGGACCCGGAGGAGGAAGAGGAAGAGGAGGAGGAGCCGGACCCCGAGGCGCCCGAAAACGGCTCTTTGCCCCGGTTCGTGCCGCGCTTCAACTTCACCCTGAAGGACCTGACCCGCTTCGTGGATTTCAACATCAAAGGGCGCGACGTGATCGTGTTCCTGCACATCCAGAAGACCGGAGGCACCACGTTCGGCCGGCACCTAGTGAAGAACATTCGCCTGGAGCAGCCATGCAGCTGCAAGGCTGGCCAGAAAAAGTGCACCTGCCACCGGCCGGGCAAGAAGGAGACCTGGCTCTTCTCCCGCTTCTCCACCGGCTGGAGCTGCGGGCTGCATGCCGACTGGACCGAGCTCACCAACTGCGTGCCGGCCATCATGGAGAAGAAGGATTGTCCCCGCAACCACAGCCACACCAGGTACTGTCCCGTCCCGTCTGGCGTCTGTTGGTTTCCTGAGCCCCACTCCCTTCCCCAAGTCCCGACCCCGCCAGTCCCGCGTCGTGCTCCCTTGTTTGGCAGCGTTTCCAAAGAGTGGGCAGAGATTTGGGTGAAGGGTAAGAAACCGCTACATACCACGGGGGTCTTGAGCTGGTTTCTTTCCCAATGCTCCACTGTTTCTTGCCACCCACTGTCACCTTCAGATGTGTGTCCACGGCCATCCTGATGTGCGTTCTGCTCGGTGCCTAGCACCGTGTGGTGAGGTATTTGGAGCAGACACTCAAGAACAGCCATGGAATAGCTAGAATCTGGGTTGGACCAGAGAGGTCGAGTCTTGAACTTAAATTATGTGGTGGAAACCCAAAGAATAGGGGGAGCTGGGGATGCAGACACAGAGTTTTTCAGGCATAGTGAGGCTGGAGCATAATCCCCTCATAAGTGGCTCTCCGGTGGCTGCTTGCCAGCTTACAGAACAATCCTCTTGATGCTGCTTTGAAGATACACACGCGCAAATTCGTGCTCCACTGTGATAACCCTAATTCTGGAGACTGTCCTTGTTGCTGTGTAATGCCAGGATTCAGAGTCATGCTGTTCTTAGTAAGACAGCGGCTTCTCCCTTAAGCCATTCCAACAGTTTATTTAAACAGTATTTGTTAAATGCCTACTGTGTGCCCGGCTGTGTGCTGAGTGGATACAAAGATCTAATAACTAAAAGGAACGCTAGCGCTAGAGGGTTACAACAGAATGCTGTTGAGGGTTGAGAAAGTTTGAAGTCTCTGCTGCCAACGCGGCTGCTTACACTATCGTCCTTTTGAGAGAAGCATGGGGCTTAAGAACATGGTTGGTTGCTCGTTCTGCCCATTCCCATCTGGAGATTAATCTGACATGCTCAAGGGAATAAAATATTAAAAGATCAGAACAGTAGTTTTATTGAAGTTTTTATCTCAAGGGTTTCAAACAATTTGGTGTAAGGGATGGGAATGGAAACGTCAGCTCAATATGCTGGTACCAGATAGCTTTTTGTATTTGACATTATGGAGAAGCTCTGTTTACTGGAAACTGCCCAGATTCTGAAATTTGCCACGACTGCAGCATCTAATTCTACTTCATTTCCCTGAGAACGAGCGGACTTTCACTATAGGACTTTTTCCCTTTTACTCTGGCAGATTTTTAAAATGCTTCATCTCCCCGATGCTCCTGTCTCTGTTTGATAGAAATTGGTTAGAATAAGAGACCGATAGTCTTTCCCCCCTTAGTGTGTTTGAAGGGGTTTGCACCTGTAAATATTTTTATAGTATGCTGTTTTAGGACCCACCGTTGTGTTTCAGCTTAAAACTTCTAAAGTAAGCATTACACTCAATCTCCCCACTACATAGCACTGTCACTTCAGTGACATTGTCTCTGCTACACATCACTCCATGGTATGGCCTTTGATTTGGACATTAGACATTCCTGGTTGATCCCAAAGAGTTTGACAGCCTGTTTCATTTTGTCCATTGTAGTAAAAGTGGAGTCTTTCATTAGGACATCAAATCCCCCGGTGACCTTCAATGAGTGTCAGTATTAAAACAAAACGAAACAAAACAAAACAACAAAACAAAACAAAGCAATGTCTTAGTGGATATGTGGAGACTTACAGGTTTTGAGGAGGATGGGACATGTGGAGTGGTTGGGTTTTGGCTGGGTGGGGTGATGGTTCTGCTCTTAAGGCCCTGCACAGGCCACAAGCCTTCTTCTCTAGGAGCTGTGCACTCTCTCTTCATCTCTGACACAGGGAAATCCCACCTTGACTATTTAAACATGCGGTTTCTATCTAAAGCAAATAATGTTCTTAATTTACCAACAGATCACAAACATCCATTTCTTTTTTTGCGCCACAAGTTATCAGGTCATCATCATGCGTGGGCTTGTTTTGCTTCCCGTTTTTGTGGCGTTTTGTGTTTCTTTGTATAACTGTCTTCCTTCCTACCTTGTCTCCTTCTCCCCAGTGAGTCTCAACGACTTTCCTCCCAGATACTGTAGGAAGGAATAGCTGTGATGTATGTGGAGTGCCCTGCATCAAAAGCTATAGGGAAGGAATTGAGGAGACATTAATAGTAGCATCTCGCTAGCAGAGAAGATTGAATTAGTTGTCTGTCATTGTAATGTCTGTGTACAGCATCCTACAGTCAACAAGATTAGCCTGGATAATGGAGGGTACATTTCCACAATGCAAAATGGCAGATAATCTATCGCTACATAATGGGAACAAGGTTCTACTTCAAATAGGGCTGACTCTGAGCAAAATTGCGAAGGAACGCCTGTTGGTTTTATTTCCCTGGGCACTCAGCTCCTGGTCCTCTTGGCAGCTCCTCCCCCTTTGTCTTAAGGATCAATGCCCTTGTGGATCACGGAATGGATAAATGTAAGACTCTGGAGTTGGGAGAAAGTGGATCTCGCATGTTCTCTGTACTAGGAGTAAGTTACACTCTTCCCAAGTCTGCATCACACATTCTCCCCTACTCTGTAATGTAAATAATAGTTAGGACGTCCCATATAGCTGTTATGAGAACCAAATAGCTAATCTATAGGATGTATATCATAGTATGTATATATAGTACAATATGCTGGTGTATAGTACTTAATACCCATGTCTATAGTAATTGAGTAGTGAGAGCAGAGGGCAGGACACTTGGACAAGAGACAGAAGGGGGAAAGCTGACTCTGAGGGACCATAAGGGAACTGAAGGGCACATCATATGGATTTCATAGGCCTAGGAAGGATCGAGACCTTGGGGCGGTTCAAAGGTGAATCTGACAAAGACACTAGTTGGAACTGGATAGGAAACCGAAGGGAAGATGGCTTCTCTTTCTTTAAAATCATCTTACTAAGGATTTTTTCTTTTGCATATGACATTTTCCCCTTCATTATTTCTTCAATGAGTTATGCATTCTTTTCTTTACAAAAATCCTCTGTGTGTGTGTGGGGTCATAAGAAAGTTGAGCATGTACATGCCATGGGTTGGGCATGTGCATACCATGGGTTTGGTATGTGCATACCATGGGTTGGGCATGTACATGCCGTGGGTTGGGCATGTGCATACCATGTGTTGGGCATGTGCATGCCATGTGTTGGGCATGCGCATACCATGTGTTGGGCATGTGCATGCCATGTGTTGGGCATGTGCATACCATGGGTTTGGCATGTGCATACCATGGGTTGGGCATGTACATACCATGAGTCGGGCATGTACATGCCATGGGATGCTTGTGCAGGTCAGAGGACAAACTCATGTGTCAGTTCTTGGCCTCTCTACCTTGCTCGAGTCAAGTCTCTTGTTAGCAGATGCTTATGCCAGGCTAACTGACTTGTGAGCTTTTTAGATTCTTCTTTCTGTGCCTTCCATCTCACCACAGGAATGCTGGATTACAGATATCACCATAGTCTGGCTTCATACAGGCGCTGGGGTTCTGAACTCAAGTCCCAGTAAGTGCTCTCCTCAGTCTGTGTTCCTTTTTACCGTGTTTCCTCCACTTTATCTGTATGACTCAGTCTTTTAGGAGGATTCTCTTTACCATTGTTGAGTATGGATCGAATCACAGCATTTTATGACAAAATACAACAAGATAAAAACCACCACAGAGATAATTCACTCCCCAGTTTTGATGTGCATTCTAACACTGAGAAGGTGAGATGGTGTTCCCGAGGTGTCCTTCAGGGATTCAAGTCTTCATTTTGTCATTGTATCCAGAGCTTTGACTATTGTAACTTCTCTGTCCATGTGTCATGGAGAAGACTGTCTTAAACCTACTAATATGTCAGGAGTTCTAATAGTCTGGGAATGGAGTTTGAGGAGTGTCAATCTTGTGTGAGCCTGCCTGTTAGGAAAGGTAGCTCTAACCTTGGTAAGTGGGTGTCATCATCTTTCTTATACAATGCTCAAAGATGCTCTTCCGTATCCTTCTGTAGGATGAGGAGGGGATCTTTGTCTTTTATTACTCATGCTCTATTGATCTATCTACTAGGATGACTGATGTCCTGTGAATTTGGTACTAGATAGTATTATGGGCTGCAAGTGATATAAACCTACTTCAACTTGAGGAGAGTTGCTAAGTATGTAAGTATACAACAGAGCAGGAAAGTGTGGAGATGGTTTTAGTAGTGGAAATCTGGGATCTTTCTCCTCACATCCTGTGCATACCCTAGAAAAGCACCTCAATAAATGAGACAGGAAGATGGTTTTCATGTCTAAATGTTCCTCAGGGAAAGAGGTTAGCAGGCCATTGCTGGGCTCCAATTTGTAATCTTGGAGAAGTTAACTCCAATTAATTCACTTGGACCTTATGACTATTTTTTTTCAGCCAATCACTGTGGTCAGAATAAGGTTTTGTGACTCACTTTGTACCACAGAACCAATTCCATGACGTGTGTGTGTGTGTGTGTGTGTGTGTGTGTGTGTGTGTACCTGGGTGAGTGTGAGATCAGAGAATAGGGTGTTGTAGGTAGATCACAGGCTTTTCAATGGTGTTCAAGCAGGAAAGAAAGGAGCCTTCAGGCATCGTCTTTGCATTCAATTGAAGTAACGCTTCCAAGCAAATGACAATTCATCTTGACTGACAGCACCTGAAAGCATTGGTAATATTTACTGTGAAGATGGGCAGCATGAGCAGAACCGTTAGAACTGCCTTCAGTACTCCAAAGAAGAAGGTGAGGGAGGTGACGAAGGTGAGGGAGACGCGTTCTGCATTAACCCCGAATATAAAGCCAGGATGAGTCTTGGTGGGATTTCAACATGAGAAATAACTTTACAAAATGTGTAACTGTCTTCAATGAGCATGAACTCTGTGAAGTGGTCTTGTCCTCAGCAGAGGGCACTTCAGCAACTTCTGGTTGACTGTGGGGATGAAATTCCTTCCTGGGAAAAGACAGCCTTTTATTTTAAGAAGGCTTAGTTCAAATCTAAGCTGCATTTAAGGTGTCTTCTTTCCTTCTGTATATT